TCTCACACACACATATCCCTATCTATCTGTTATCACCATGTCAATTTCACACAATCTTATCAATTTTACATTCCACTCACTTATTTTCTAATCTCACGATCAAGTGCAGTGCGTGCCTTGTATACCTATATATATATATATACTCGTACATGCATTGACACACGTCACATATCTTCCATTCGATCGAGTCATCGAACGCACTCATCAGAGACCAAAAGAATAGCGACGATGAGTGATTGCCATAGCCGTGTGGATTATTCGCCGATAATGACGTCACGAGGAGTCCACGAGAATCGCGAAACTCCGTAATAGCTGGACGAATGAGAGAAATAAAGGGGATGCTCCTTGCTCGTGGAATCGCAGAAGGCGTCGCTACGGCAGGATATACCATGCATACGTGTCACAGAAGTGCGCGACGGTTTCGAATACTCGAGGCGTCCCTCTCTTATCTATATGAGCACTCCGCAGCCGCGTCATATATGTACGCCGACGTCAAAGGGACGTATCCTCCCGGTATATAAAAAGAACGCCTAGAAGATTCGAAGCTATCTCTGCAGCGTCATTGGAATTCGCGGATATCACGGCTACGACGTGCCATACCTCCGTTCCTGTAAAGAGAGGGTGAGAATGGCGTTACGACTCTCCTCCTTTTACAACACTCCTAGTCTCGTAACATTACGTAACCTAAGCGATCGTGACTGTACGTTCTTTTTCTTTTTCAAACATTCTAAGAAAGTGTCACGAAGACGAAACGTACAAAAGACACCTTCAGGTTGACTGGAAGCGTCGTACGTCATAGCCGTGAATGTTGCTGACTGCTCGCTGAGGCACAAAGGGCCCAGAAGCAGTCCACTCTCGATGTTGCACTATGATGTTTTCATGCCTTTGCGTGTACTATGTGTCTGGTCTGGGCTGGTCTCTCTGTCTGTCCTGTGTGCCTGTCTGTCTGTCTTTCTGTCGCCCTCTTTAACTCCATATACAGGGTGTCCCAGAATAAAAAGATATGAAGTACAGCATCAAGTAGAAGAGGAAACGAACGTGAAAAAGCGTACCCGCTGAGCATCCAAGAACGCGGTAAGTGGGAGATAAAGGGAATGCTCAGCGGGTACAACCGTGCGTTTATTGGCTGGCTTCAAGTGTTTATAACTGTAAAAGGAAAGCTTGGCAAAAAAACAATGGATCAGGACTTTCTTTTCAGATTTTCCTCTTCTACTCGAGCGACGTACTCTCCGTATCTTTTTATACTGGGACACCCTGTATACTCGCTTCCTTATTTTCTCGCCAAACACGTAACGTCGTCAGCGCGCATATATGCATATGTCTATATATTAATGACAACACGCTCTACTTTCTTTCTCACTCTGTCTCTTTGCATTCCCTCGTTTCATTTTCACGCACCCCAACATATTCCTACTGTTGACCTAGGTCCTTCCTTGTCCGACCTCTCACTCTTTCGCCTATCTATACACGACAGTCCCTATATATATATATTTTTTCTCGTTCTCTCACTGTCG